AAGGCAGGAAGAGGTACGAAAGTGGTTGCGAGATGGGACTATGCCACTGAATGGGAGCAACTTTCGCCACCGTGACAGCAAGCTGGCGCAACGAAGCCCAGGCACTTGTGACTGGGTATTTGAGCATGCGACTTTGAAGAATTGGATGAACAGAGACAGCCCAGCCTCTCAAGTATGGGTGAAGGCATCTCCCGGAGCTGGAAAGACTGTATTGACTGCGTCTGCTGTTTCAAAGCTGGAAGCGACCAGCGCTGAAAATGCTGCTGTCATATACCATTACTTCACTTTCGATGAAGAATTTCCAGCCTTATTGGTCTATCGCTGCCTTGCAGAGCAGCTTGTCAACCGACTGGGAAAACAAACTGGCGACGTGCCCAAGGACATTCACAAATTCACACAGGAAGGGGCTACAACCGCTAATGTTGAAGATGTCAAGCAAGTGATCAGAATGCTCCTGGAAGAAATGGCCGTTACCTACATCTTTCTCGACGGGCTTGATGAGGAGTGCGAGACAGAGAACAGAAAGAAAGAGCTTTGCAAGGTGTTGGAATTCTTTGGGGAGCTGAGCCGTGCTATGCCAAGTCGCCTGCGCATTTGGTACAGTTCTCAGCACCGCACCTGTCTCGATGCTCCCCTCAGTAGCCTTCCATCCATCGAGATCACGAAGGAGTTGAATAGCCACGACATTGAGCACTATCTACTAGATAAGATCGAGGACCTGAAAAGTCTCGAGTTTGATGCAGGGTACATCAGGTTGATTATTGGTGATCTGCGCGAGAAAGCCGACGGGTGCTTTTTGTGGGCTTCACTAATGTTAGACTCTATGTCGGACGCAGTGACCCTTCATAAGGTTCAAAGTATCATTGAGGGAGGTCTTCCCGACAGCTACGAAAAGTACTACCAGAGAAAGATGGACAGCATCCGGCCTGGTCTGAAGGAATTTGCTTCGTATGTAACTCTGAACGCCCGCGACGTGGTTTGGAAAACTGCTAACCTGGAGCTGCTAGGATTATTCTATCATGTATCGTGCATGCAAAACGCCCATTACGCCTGGATGAGCTTTGTGAATGTACGGCGATGGTGAAAGGCATTGAAGGACAGAATATCGATAGCAGTCAAAAAATCAAGAAAAGCAAGGTGCTGGAGTTATGCCAACCTCTTGTCCAGATCCAGGAAAGCGATGGGCCAGCCGGCACCATCTCGATCTGCACGCTGACTCATGGCTCGGTCAAAAGCTTTCTGTTGAAGAACCCAGGGATCTTGGCAAACAACTCCAATCCACCAGCATATGCGCTCACAAATGACGTTTTGGCGAATGTATGCCTCAAGTATCTCCTGCAGCCACGGTATCAGCAACTTCTTACCAGGGGGGGCGAAACATTCGTCGATTGTGATGGGGAGGACATTCTTAATCACCATCTTCTCTCTTATGCCGCCAAATACTGGGATAAGCACCTGGATGGCGTCAATTATTCATTGGACTATTGCCAGAAAGCCTCAAGTTTTATCAGAAGCCCACAGTTCTTCACATTGCTACAAGTTCAGAGTCTCTTTGTCGACGGTATGTCTGATAAAGCTCCAGACCTTTTGAAGGGCCACGTTAACTAATGAGTGACATAGGCCAATTTCGCTTCTGGTACAGTACTTACCGTCCATGGGCTGGCAGACATATTAGGCGCGTATTTCCTCATTGGTTAGATGATAACTGCAATGAGCCCTTCGCAAAGGACTATGCATCCTTTGTGGGTGAGTGGGGACCACTATTGGACCGTGAGACAAGCATCACGGGCGCCTTCGCAGGCGAAATCGATCGATGCTTTCCTGGGGCCTTGGGACCCAACAACTACCTTCACAAGGGACCCAGTCGGTATCGGAGTCTGATGTTTACGGCAGAGACTGAGCCGATTGAGCCCCCAATTCGGTGCTTTGAAGGGGTTGACGAAACGGGAAGGTATTTGACAGTACTGAACCTGGAAAAGGTGTAAGTGCCACAGCCCCACGTTGTCGTTGTTCATAGCTTACTGATGTTATAATTACGAGTAGTAGCGAAGACAGGCTACAATTTTGTTGCGAGCATTGGCATATGAATGGTCGCAAACCCGAGCTTCAAAGAACACAAAAGTTGTATGCATCCGCCTCAACCTGGTCTCTTTACGAGTATCCCTTGACGGAGAATGTTCCGGGCCGCCCTCGTCTGGTTTCATTCACTAGAGACTTGAAATTCGTGCGCATTGGGTCTCAGCTGTTTGCCAAGGGCGTGGATCACGATTATACGTCCCTACCTGTTACTGATCCCGACGAAGATTATTTCGATGAAATGGCCAGCAACAACAATATGGTTGCTGTGTCAACAAGACGACAGATCTCTAAGTTAGATGTGGAAATTCCAGGGGCAATTACTGGCGATGTGAGAATTGTTGACTATGCGGATATAGCGATTCAAAAGCGAGAAGAAGAGGTAAGCGAGTTGGATCAAAGAAGTACGGCCGCCCCAACTTCAGCTGCCGATACACAGCCAACTACTACCGTTACGAAAAGCAGTGATGACGACAGTGATAGCGGGACCATTGAAACCGATATCACATCAGAGTCTTCATTGAAGCTAGAAGACCCAGATGAGTTCCAACCATCGACCGAGAAAGACAAGGCGCTGGAGCTCGCAACAAAGGTGTCGAATTATACAGACGAACTTATGAAAAGCTCTTCCGAGTCTGCCGGAAACTCAGCTTATACCTCCTGGAGCGAGGGATCTACTGATCTTGATGATGAGGTAGAGGACGAAGAGCAATGGAATGATTGGGATCTCGAGAATCTGGAACTGGAAGAGCTCGACGTCGAAGAAAAGGGAAGCTTTCTTGGCAGCGACAACGACGGATACAGCAGCGGTGATGAGAGGAAAGATGCTTTGGAACTACATGATGATGTCGCGAGTGAACTATCGGAGTCAGATAACGCGAGTGACGCATTGAAAAAAAGGAGTGATATGCTACCATCGGACTCTGATGGTAGTGACGTTGGGAGTGTCGGTTCTTCGACGAACTACAGCGTCTCTAGCAGCGAATATGGCTCCGATGATGAAAACCGCGGCATACTCGAAAACATGATGACCGGAAATAAGACCACGAGCACCGAAGGGACTCGTCGCACAAGCATTCGAGTGTACGATGCTAGCAGAAAAGAACGCATCCCCATATTTCACTTTACCTGCTTTATTAAAGACAGGTTGTTCGACTCACCTCCGGTGTTCCACCCTTCCAAGCCCCTCCTGGTCTGGCCACTGGGAGACAGGGAGATTCTGTTTGCCAATTATGAGAAGAACACGTATTTTACACGCGGGCTATGTCGTTCGGGCTATGTCAGCTGCCACATCTTCATCAAGGCTCACTTCTCGAGTGACGGTCAGCACCTGCACCTCGCGGCATTGGAAGCTCGCGAGGCCGCCAAATCAGACAAGGAAGAAGCCTCTGTACTTCTCAGCCTGCAGGTCTCAACACACCGACTCTCCGAGCACAAAACTGCTAGTAGCCCGCCTCGAATGATCTTCCGCACCACCGTTGAGCTCGGTAACACCCCTAAGTTGTCCGTGTCCAATCTCCCCCACTTCCTAACATGGAGCGACACACATCTCTTCTTCACAAGCCGCAACAACAAGCTCGATGTCCTTCGAATTCCCCTCTTCCGCCCCCCAGGCGACAACGTGGACCTGAACATCTGCTCCCTACAAGAACCCATATTTTTGCCACGCTCGGTCGAAGCACGAAACATGTACTTCTTCCCATCTCAGGAAACAACGAAGAAAACTTCACGGAAGAAGGACACGAAGTCAGCAACACTTATTCTAGGTGCACAGACCTGTCTCCCTAGCCAGGGAATACTTGTACCCCGGCACATGTGTTATCCCCCGATCGCGGTATCTCTGCGTGAGGACAAGGATTTAGTCTGGGCTTGCAAGTCGAATGTTGATGAGGGTAGAAAGATCAACAATGCCTGTGGCAGGTTGAGGGGGAAGTTCGAGTCGTTCGATCACAACGAGGATTGTGACATTATCCCGTATTTGTTTTGATGTGAGCTTCAACTCTGGCTAAACCCTGTATCTGTTGTACCTCTGTGGAGGACATCCCACTGCAGAATTTATACGAAAGTCAGAAGACGAATCAGCCATAATAGAGATTAGGCGTCAAATTAGCAGCCATCGGTGTCTACAACATGTTATGACAGTAAGAATCTTGAGCTACGTCAAAGTACCCTATTCCAGCTGAGAAGGAGGACTGCATCTTTTAGAGTGGCGGAATTGAAATCCGCAACCACCAAGTCCAACCTTTCCCCGAATAATGGACATTTCCTTAACCCTGTGCCACCAGGGATTCCCTTCTACTTCTATCATTGCAAGACCATCCCCGACAGTTCAGTATTAACAACTAAACCATCAACTGTAAGAGGCTTCTTTCCTCTCATCGGTCCCCAAGGCAACTAAACACCTCCCGGCGTCCAGTATTACTAAGACCTTTTCAAGGTGTCCATCCTCGACTCTTCTTTTCTCTTGCTGATACTCATACAATGCGCTTGCGCTACACTACAATGACTGCCTTTGCCTGCTTGGTAGTGCAAATGCAGCCACTTTTTGCAGCTCAGGTCGCTGGGTCAACCTCGCCTCCATTCCCACTCCCCGTCAAGAGCATGGGACCATCGCCATCGGTATCTCAACTATTGCGATCGTCGGTGGCATCGCCCCTCAAGACAATAGTACCACCGCAGTCACAACCGACCTAGTCCGGCTCTACGACATCGCCTCCAATACCTGGCGCACTGTATCCCCGGCCCCCTTCAGAGTCAACCACCCCAACCTTGCCTCCGTGGCCCCCAACGAACTCTACCTCCTGGGCGGTCTGACCGACGTACCACCCCCAAAAGGCCAAGACCTAGACATCAACTGGATTGCCTCCAAGAACTGCTACGTTTATGAAGTTGCAACAGATACTTGGGCCGAGATTGCCTCCATGCCCAACGGCACAGAAAGGGGCAGTTCCGTCGTTGGTGTTCACAACGAGATGGTCTATCTAGCCGGCGGAATGACAGTCCTCCAGTCAGGATACCAAGATGCAGTCGACTCCGTTCTATCATTCAACACTACCTCTGGCCTCTGGCAGAGACTTGAGTCCGTTGCGGCTGAATTGCCAGAAAGCCGCCAGCATGCTACTGGAGCGGTTATTGGAGACACTTTCTATGTTATCAGTGGACGCCGATACGGCCAGATGTATCATCGAGACGCGGTTTTCGAACTTGATCTGCAGAACATAGGTGGGATGGAGGACGAGCACTGGCCACATGCCTACCTCCCGCGGAGGCATCTTTGGGGGTGCTGTTGATGGGAAGTTCTACGTTTTTGGTGGTGTAGGAAACCAAAACTCCAATACCGGTGTCTTCAATCAAACGGAAATGTATGATACGGCTTCCGAGCGATGGGTTGAGTTGTTTCCCATGCCTGTTCCTCGTCATGGTACTCAAGCTGTGGTGGCTGGAGGATGTATCTATATCCCTGGTGGTGGCCTCCAGCAGGATGGTAAGGAGGTCATAGTGGGTGGAGAGACGACGTATCATGATACTACCTCTCACTTTGATGTTTACTGTCCTTGAGCATCGGAAGTGTAGAGCGGCGTGAGGGATATAGAGAAATTGGCTGTTGAAAGGTGAACCAATTCTTGTCACAGTCATACAAATTGCAATGATGTAATGATGTCTTATGCTCTCATTTATGATTGCTTTGACGCACGGCATCAGTCTTCCAGAAGTTCTCTGAATATTCTGTGAAGCATCGAAGCCTGGGCAGGACTTCTGTAGGTTGGATAAAATGTGGTAGTGCACTAGAAAATCTGATCAGGTTGTATGTCCGTCCGCCCGTTGCTCCAATGTCTCTGGTTGGATCTCTATCACCACACTGCTTGAAAAGAGCTTGAGAAGGCGGTTACAGTCATGTGACCTGGTCTTGAGGTATGGACCCCACTTCCGTATAAGTAAAACCAGCTGAATACCCCGCCCAAATAGGATGGCCATGATAGCGAAATGAGCGCATCGGGTTGGTTTCAAGTCGAGATGGCCTCAAAAGCAACGATCCTTAGAGGTAACACCTGTTCGGTATGTCAGGCTGTTCCCTGTCCTGAACCTGGCTACAATTTTGGACCTGATCCAAAGTTATCATACATTACCCCAGCCGGCCAAACCCTTGTCGCCTTTCGAAATGCTTCTCAGGCGCAATTGCGTTATTTGCTCAACTATCTTCAACATGTCTGAGCAGCGTCGATTGGCATGGTCGGATACCTCGTCAAAATACTGGCAGCCATTGCAATATCGCGTACAAAAATATGCAGGCGAGGAGGGTATCGTGAGACTGAACGTCATATTTAGCGACCCACTGAAAGGTAGTGCAAATGACGTTCGATTTCGCCTGATTCCTATCGACAGTAAGCCTCGTTTGCTCCTACAAAAAGTTTATACTCCGTATCTAGGCTGATTGATTTGAAGATGATGAATATCGGTCTTACTTTAGGGCGTGCAATATGGAATCTGATACATCGTCTGCAACCACATTAGCAACAGCAAATGAATGGTTTCTTCACTGTCATTCTAAGCACAATCTATGCCACAAGCTATCAACTTTTAACTCGGCCAGGCTTCCTACTCGGCTTATTGATATCGGGCACGACGGAGATACTAATTGGTTTCTCCGCATTATGCAGGAACAAAGTAGTTTGTCAACACGCTTATCTTATATGACACTCAGTTACCGCTGGGGATCTGATGCGAATTTCATGCTTCTTTCCTCAAATATAGCACAATTTGAGCAAGGCGCACCAATCTGCGACCTTCCTCAACTGTTCAGAGATTTTATAACGGTAGCTCGGACTTTTCGCATCAGATATGTCTGGATTGATGCCCTGTGCATCATACAAGATTCGATTGATGATTGGGAGGCCGAAGCACCAAAAATGAGACACGTCTACGCAAATTCCGCATGCAATATCGCGGCGTCGGTTTCCAAAAGCCCAGAAGAAAGCATGTTCCGTTCCAGGGAGCCCGACAAAATTCGACCTCGTATGGTTTGGAGTTCTTTATCCTCTGATCGACCATCCTTCCACTATATCTTTGAGAAAAATACTGGGATAGACAAATTTCCAACGGACCCTTACATAAACGAGGGTGGGTATTTCAAGAAAGGGACCTGGCTCCTCGAGTACTTTATTTTGAAGAAGACCAAATTCTGTGGGAATGCCTCAGTGAACATAAGTGGGAATGTTTCCCTTGTGGTATTCCAGCTCATTCATCGGACAAAAACATGGATGCGCTTTTTGATTATATGCCCACGATGGATGGCGTAGATCCACAGAGCCGAGAACCCATGTCACTGGAAGGATTCAACTTGTGGAATGATCTTGTTCAAACATACTCTTGCTGTGACTTGACAAACCCTTCGGACAAAATGGTTGCTATAGCCGGCATCGCCAAACCTTTTCAGGATATCACTGGTGACGAATATGTAGCAGGCTGGTGGAAATCACGCCTTCTTGAATCACTGGGTTGGCGTGTCTTTGAGCCCCAGGAACGGCGGAGTGCGTGCTATAGAGCACCATCCTGGTCCTGGGGTTCAGTTGATGGACCGGTCACACCGTCTGGTTTATCTGCTTCTGCCGAATTTCTTGTCAGTATCGTGGACTTTCATGTGGCCACAGGAAGCTCAGGTACTATAGACAATGTCTTGAAGGGGTACCTCGAGCTCAGGGGCACTGTTCTCGTAGGGGTCTGCCGCAATCTCAGCAATGGAAATCGCGCTATAGATATTGAGGGTCGGCAGCTTCCTGTCTGGATTTACCCAGATTCTTCGGACACTCAATTTCTGGAGGGCAAGAAGGTCATCTGTATTCCATTGAAAAAAGACTCCTCATGGGACACTAGTGGCGAGGCAAGATCCCACATCACTCTCATTTTAGCCGAGGAAGTAGATCAGCAACAAAATTCCAGTGTTGTCTATCGACGTCTTGGAATCTTCACTCTCAATACGCAAGAAGATGTGGAATATATCTGCGCAATTTGCGATACAAAGGCTATCGTTATGATATAATGACTTTGGAATGAAAGGATACTAGATCCATTACGCGGCCGCGGTGGAGGTATTGATCAGGTCGTATGCCTGCCGCGCTGTTGATCCAGTCTTTCTGGTCGGATCTTTATGAATGATCTATCACCCTACTCTGCATAATACGAACTTGGACACAGGGAGAATTACCACCCACGGTGAACAACCCTCCGTGGTATTAGAGCACGCGTTCGGAAACCAACTTTGCTGCTCGGGTTCTGGCCGCCTGGGTCGTAAAAACCCTCGCTCCCACGTTGGAGCTAGGGCTTAGAATACAGGCATTGCTCCAAGTTATGTACTTATCATATTGGAGAATAAAGCTGCGTAGAACCAATTTATTGACCCGAAGAAACATATGGGTACGAGAGAAAAGCCGTTGGCGACTGTGGTCAATTAACGCTGAACAAACAAACAGGGTAAAGGAAGAGACAATCAATACCCATGGTCACGACATCCATTTCTGATGAATCTGTTGGTATTCCAATGCTAGCTGGCTCCAAGTTTTGCCCCCCACCACTGTTCCGTGGCACCTCTCTGTGTGGCTCAGAATACACACACACATAGAAAGAGTGTGTGTGAGAGCCCATTGAGATACTTGATTCCATACATTTCATCTCATTGGCCGAGTGCCCTTTATGTTAGATACTACCAGTGCCAGTATCTGTATCAATTTTAGGAGAGGGAGTGGTGTGATCGTGACAGCGCAGGGTGTTTCCGATAATCCGATAATCCGGGAATCCGATGGGTGTACCCACAACGCCTACAGAACCCCAGAGATACAAGAGGAGATAAAAGGAGGTATTCGCCACGAGCGTTCCAGTCAAGTACAGAGCAAAACAACAACTCATTTCTTGATCTTTAAACCATCACCTGACATTCATCCAATTATCAATATGGTCGGCTTTGACATGCGTGGTTTGACACCGGCTCCGGTAACTCCCTTCACGCCGGACGGTGCAGTAGACTACGACGCTATACAACGGCTTGGTTCCTGGCTTGGAGGCATCGAAGGAGTCAAAGGACTGGTTGTGCTTGGCCACGCTGGCGAGGGCACCTTTCTCACCACCGAAGAGCAAATCTCCGTCATCAAGGCTTTTGTGAGGTCGGTGGACAACAAAATCCCAATCATCGCTGGAATCACTGGCGAAGGCACCGAAGTGGCCGCCTTAGAAGCGAAGCGTGCCAAAGAAGCTGGTGCGGCTGCTGGCTTGCTATACCCATCTCATGGCTGGCTGCGCTTCGGATATCAGCCCGGGGCTCCTCAAGATCGGTACCGCCGGGTATATGAGGTGTCCGGCCTGCCCTTGATCCTTTTCCAGTATCCGGACAACACAAAGGCGACCTACAGTTTACAGACTATGCTTGATATTGCTGCTCAACCCGGCTGTTTTGCCATGAAGAACGGTGTGCGCAACATGCGCAGATGGGATACGGAAATTCCTGTTATTCGGGCCCAACGCCCCGACCTACAAATTCTCACTTGTCATGATGAATACCTGTTGCACACTTCCTTCGACGTCGATGGTTTCTTGGTTGGCTATGGGAACATCGCCCCCGAGCCTCTTATCGAATTGATCAAGGCTGGTAAGGCCAAGGATTACAAAAGGGCACGAGCTATTCATGACCAACTCCTGCCGGTCACGAAGAGTGTGTATCATCGAGGATCTCATATGGAGGGTACGGTCGCGCTGAAACATGCTCCTGTTGCTCGGGGGATCCTGACACACGCCACTGTTCGTTCGCCTTTGTTGCCGCTCGAGGAGGGTGCAGAACAAGAAATTCATGCTGCCATCAGTGCTGCATCCCTCAGCAAGGTGGTTCTGTGAGGAGGAATGTCAAAGTAAGGATCTGTATATGATTGTGTTAAGCTAGAAGGTAGATGTGAGGGAGGATCACATCCAATAGCCAATGATAAATTTATGCGGCTTCTGTAACAATGGTGGCTTTATACAGTATAAAGTAGTATCGTAAGGCAACCTAGTGCACTCAACGATGATGCAAGAAGATTGTCTGGATTAACCGTGGCTCGGATTTAGATGTCTTCGTATTCTGCATAGACTACTGACCTTGCGATCTCGGACTTCCGGCTATGCTCGGCTATCCAGCCCGCATTCTACATTCTATTTGGTCTGCAAATCCGGCATTTCCGTCCCTCTCCTCCCCATCTCTCTCCACTAAGCAGCACCTGAAAGCATCATGATATCCACCCATTCACCACAAGGCCCTTTGCTGGCGCCAGATCCGTCCAGAGCGCCTCCAGGGAAGCGCCCCTTGCTGACGACCAGTGACGATGCGGATGATGAGAATCGCCGGAAAGACCGAAAAATCACTCGGGCTTGTGATACCTGCAAAAGAAAGAAAGTCCGATGCGATGGTACACTTCCATGCAGGAATTGTGCGAAACGAAAACTCCATTGTTTCTATAATGCCAAATACAACCGTGGTCGGCCCCCAACCCCACCACCTTCTATGACGATCAGTGAGCACCAAGCCAGACGGCAAAGTTATCCTCCAGAGCAGAATCCCAATAGACAGAATACGGAACCAGTCACGCATCTAGTCCCCGAGTCTCAAAATAACCCTCGGGATTCACCAGAGGTCGAACTTGAGGGGCAATATTCCGATCCTACATCAGGATTGAACTTCTTGCACAGAGCATGGAAGAAATTGTCGACACAAAACGATGATTTAGCATTATATCATTTGAACAACGCAGGAAGAGACCAACTGCTCACTTCAGCTGGAGATCCCCCATTTCATGTTGATGATGCAGCTCTAGACGATGTGATTCCAGTTGCCTCCGCGGCGAGGGAATTGCAAGAGTTCTACTTCGAAACGTGTGTGGTGACGTATCGTATGTTCCATCGGCAACTCGTAGAAGGTTGGATGGAGATTCTTATGAAAAATCGACAAGAACGACGGCCAATTACCCATTCGCTCGGAAATTCTAGAACTGCGATACTGCTCACCATAATGGCTATCGCCTCTTTACGCCGCGATAAAGTCAACGGGAAAGGGCCCCAAGACGACAACATGAATGGCTTATGCAGAAGTGATCGGCTGTTCAGTGCGGGCATGAAACTGACTGAGACGGAGATGGGGTTTCCAAAAGTTGAATCCGTCCAGGCACGGCTCATCCAAGTTCTCTACCTTCTGCAAACAGCTCGCATGAACAAAGCCTGGTATGTATTTGGAAATGCCTTTCAGGTAACACTTTCCCTCGGCATGCACCGGTGTCGAGACCAGAGGAGAAATTTCCCTTGCCCGGGACGGCCCTATAATTACATTATCTCAGAACGCTACAAACGCACGTTTTGGGTCGCTTACATTGTTGACACCTATTTGAGCGTTGTGTTCGGCCGGCCTCGACTTTACCAAGACGAGAATATTGACCAGGATTTCCCTAGCATGGTCAATGACGAGGACATGAAACCGCAAGGGCCTTGCAACTCAGACAACCCAGGAGATTGCTATATTGATGCTTTGATACATCATGCCAAGTATATTGTAATGCCTCTCCATCGCGAGGATCGCATACTTACCACATTTCAGGATTGCGCAGATCATAGGAAAAATATCACGAGAAATATACTCGATCAGCAATTTGCCCAACGAAGATCGTCTAGCAGCTGTGCAGCGGTTGTGTCATGATCTGCATGTATGGTGGGCCAGCCTGCCGCCACATTTGGGTACAGTAAAACCCTCCACCTTGATATCCAGTTTCCGGCGCCAGGCCATTGCTATGCGGCTGGCATATTATCATGCTCTCATGCATGCCAATCGACCTTTCCTTTTGAGTGAAGGAGCATACGAGGAAGTTAAAGAATGCATAACTACTGCCCAGAACAGTCTAGAACTTCTCAATAGAATGGCTAAAGACAGTATATTATTTCATTCTTTCTGGTGGACATATTATGTTATTTTTTGTGCATTGTCTGTTGTCTATGTCTGGGAGATTCAGCGAACTACCCGATGCATATATGGAATTGATGATCAGGCATCGAGCAAGCTCTTTGATCTCGCAGAGAAGTGCCACGGTCATCTCAAGAGAGCGTCGACAAGTCTATCACAGAACCAACGATACAGCATTATACTAGATGAACTGCAATCCGAAGCACAGAGATGCCGAGCTGCGATGGAAAGCTTGCAAAGTCAACGTCCAGGTACTTTTCATGGCGCTGAAGGACATGTTGCAGATATTAGCCTTTCATTTCCGCAGGACCCGGAAAGCTGCCTTAACACGGCCTTTCTCCAGGAAGGAGCCATGCCCGGGGTGTTAGAGAACCTTCAGTTTAGTGATTGGCAGATGCTTGACTCTTCGGTACGTGTATCGTTACAACTACATTACAGCATGCTAAGTCCACTTAAAGGCCTTCTTGCCCTTATCGGACTCAAATTACGTCTCTCCCACAGACTTTCCTGGAGTTCAATGAGATTGATCGTCTCTGGTGGCTAGTGGAACTCTTACTAAAATGCCTTCCCCGCTTTTTGAACGCGAGCTACATCGGTGGGAATACCGGATATCTCGGAAAACAAGGCTCACAGCACCGAGAATCCGGAGTTGCCAAGGCTGCTCTGTGAACGGCGCCAACTTTGCTTACTTCCCCGGATGTGCTTTTCCTGCATCTACCCCGTGGGGGTGCCAAGAGCTCTGTTAGCCCAGACCCATAA